CACACACACACACACACACACACACACACACACACAAATGAATCAGAGAGAGCTCAACAGGGCACTCTGCTCCCAAGCATGTCATATATATATATTTTCTTCAATGCATGCATCCTGCAAATACGTCAATATTGACAATATTATTTACAAACATTTCTCATCTCCCAAATCTCTATTCATGATGCCCCCCAGCTGCAACCTGTACAGAAACCCTTGACTACTGTTCTCCTGTGTCTTGTTGAGCCCAGTCCCTCGTTCTTCTTCCACAATGCCTATGACCTCTCTGTTTCCCATCTGTATCCAACACAGTCTCCCTCTTGTCATCTCTCCTGACACTGTGGCATCCCTCCTCCTGGCCACTAAAACCCAAATCCTGGAGGTGGTTTGGCCCAGCTGGCTCTGACCCTGCCATCTCCTTAGGATGTGACTTCCAAAGAGTGTCCTCTGTTTTCCCTTCACACCAACACCAGCCTCATCCAGACAAAACCTGGATAGAGGATGGGAAAGCATGCCTCCCAGAAAATGTCCTTTTATACTCTGCCTTCTACTTCTCACTTCCACCATATAAAATTTTACCTATTCTTTAAGACATGGCCCAATGCCTCCTCACTCAGGAAGGGCCTCTGAATTCATGAGTACATGGGGCCCCACTAAATCCCTAAACTATGACCAGATCTCTCAAGGCATGTTTAATAAGCTCAGACAGAACTCTTTGATCTCTCCTAAGCTGAAGTTTATAAAAGTATCAAATGTCTATAGTGACCAAGTGACTCGTAACAGAAATATTATTGGAAACCCACAAACCTCCAAAGAGCAGGCATTTATAAACACAAAGGAAGTGAATATCACTTAACTAAGGCCACAGTATGAATTCTTGACTTTCCTTACTTCCATAATAAAGTTATCATTCTAAGAATTCCCTCAAATAATTTTATTTCCAACAAATATGGACAATTTGCTTTACTGGGGAAAACTACATTTCTAAGAATCATTAATAATTGTAATTGAGGGTGGATTCAATTCCCCTATACAAAGGAAAAAAAATCATCAGACTCAGTGGGGCATGGAAATCCTGAGATGATCCCTGATGACCTGTAGCCTTGATTATCAATATGATAATCAATGATAAATTATGGTAATTATCAATATAATTTACACTCCTGCGATCCTATCTAGCACCTCTTAAAATGATGCTACCTTGGCAACACCTTGACTGCAGCCTTGTAAGACCCTGACCAGTTGACTCAGCTAAGCCATGTCCAGACTCCTGACCTAAGAAACTAAATGGTGTTGTGTTAAGCTATAAAGTTTGTGGAAGTTTGCTACACAACATAGAAAACTACTTACTACGGACTAAATGTTTGTGTCCTCCCCAAATCCACATGAAGTCCTAACCCCTAATGTGATGGTATTTGGAGGTAGGACTTTTAGCAGGGAATTAGGGTTAGATTAGGTTGTAAGGGTAGGGCCCTCATGATGGGATGGTGGCCTTACAGGACGAGAAGGATCTCTCTCCCTCTCTCTCTCTCCCCATATGCACACACCATGGAAAGGCCATGTGAGGACACAGTGAAGTATTTTTTTTAATGTTTATTTTTGAGAGAGAGAGGTAGAAAGCGAGCAGGGGAGGGGTAGAGAGAGACAGGGAGACAGAATCCCAGACAGGCTCCACGCCATCAGCACAGAGCCCAAGGCAGGGCTTGAACTCACAAACCATGAGATCATGATCTAGGCCAAAAGCAAGAGTCGGATGCCCAACCGACTGAGACACCCAAGCTCCCCCACAGTGAGGTTTTGACAGTCTGCAAGACAGGAAGGGGGTCCTCACCAGAACTCAACCCTGATCTCAGACTTCTAGCCTCCAGAATGTGAGGTTAACTTAACTGTTGGTTAATCTGCCCAATCTATGGTACTTTGTTATGGCAGCTCAAGCTTATTAATACACTAATACAACCAGAGTGCAATATTAGATTCTTGTTTTCAAATGTCCACTCTTTCCCCGTGTCTCCCCCCACCAGAAGCTGACTTCCCTGCTCCTCTGACCTAGAAGCATCGGTACCCGCTCTAACAAGGGAGGGAGGCACAGGAGAATGGAGAATGGCTTGGAGGAGAGTCTTCAAAGCCTAGGTGCCACAGTGCCTCCTCCCTGAGGATGCCTCCTGGTCCACTTGGCAACAGAGAAGAATGGAGTGTACCTCTGCTCAGAAATGATCAGGTCTGAGTTTGAACTATTTTTTTGCTCAATTCCAGCTACTGGTGAGAATTACGTTGCATGTTCCGCCAGCTCAGTAATTCCTCAGGTTTATTTTTTTCCACTCTGGTGAGGAACGGGGTCATGGAGCTAGTTAGCCGTGAAATTACTGCAGCTCGTGAAACCTTTGTCCCATTTAATTTGCCAATATTGTTATTCAAAGTCCACAGTTTACACAGAATATGAAGAAATTTAAGAGGGTCAGAGAAGAGTAACATATGATTAAGTGGCTGTGAAAGAAAAGACCAAAAAAAAAAAAAAATGGGAAAGGCATGATATTGTTCAGAGAGAGAGGGGGACTTAACTTTTCAAGCACCTGCAAGTTGTTAAAAGGACACCAACCCACTTTTTTCTCCACTTCCCACCCAGCCTAAATAGAGGCAAGAGATAATATTAAAAATGAGACAGAATTTCCTGCTGTTGAGGGTGATGAAAGGGGATAATAGACTGCCAGGAAGTAATGGCATCTTTAG